ACTTATAAATGAACTTATTTGCGGTGACTATCTGCGGAGCACCGACGATGTCAGTAGCGCTACTAGGCACAGTCCTACGGGAGTTGAGTACCACAGGCGACAGCTACTCCATTTTGGTACCAGTCATAGTAACTGCTCATAAGAGAGCAAACGGCACGGAGGATACAGGACCGACATGAGAATTTGAAATATGGTTACTTGGCTCATCTTGTCGGAACCGATGATGATGGCAATGGCGATGATGGAGAAGAAAACGTCAGTGGAGGATGTCTCCCTCCCTACATGGACGTTCACTTTGCCTTAGAATCGTGCGCCTGTTTCTTCAGTAGCTCGCTTAGTGCTTCGATGCCGCGAGCCACCTTCCCGAAATTAGTCCAAGCGCCGGTTATTTTTTAGCGTTATATATGCCTTTCTCTTATTGGCCGTCGCTGGTGCTGTCGTCTCCGCAACGATGGAATCATTCGACGAAAAATGGGAAAGAGAGGTGGACGAAAAAAACACGTGACGTTTTATTGGATTCTCGAGTAAAACGAATGAAGGTAGCCGAATGGCGGCGGATCGCAAACGTCCGCCCGGCTGAACAGGCAAACCCGGCTTAAGCCCTACCTTTCTCGTTGTTCTTCCTCCCTTTCACATCGACTGGACGGACGGACAGAAGGAGAACCGATGCAGATTTTACATTCATTTATTTCAACAATGTACATAATATGCAGTGGTCAGCGATACCAGCCGACAGCGTACCGGAGCTATTCCATAGACCGCTGTGGGCCTGCGGACCCTTCGGACAGTGACTTACCGAGCTATGTAACTAAACTACTGCGTGGACGCTAGTTTCTTAAATCAGTGTGCTACGTAAAGATATTTAGCTTTCAATATATTACAGAATATATTACATTATGTTAGTTTGAACCCAGCGAGACAACATGCCCCGTGATGGCGCGACGATGTTTGCCTACTAAACTTGAAGCCACGTGAGATAATTTATGCTCTAAAAAGGCCATAGGCACACTTCGTTTTGCCTTGGAAATAATGTTTAACAGCTATGGTAAGCGATGTAAAATTCGAGGTACTTAACGTTCTGAGGACGGGAAGTGAACGGACGAAAGCAACATCAATTTAGAATGTGCCGTAAATAAATAAATAAGATAACGAGAGAGCACGAATCAGGTAGCCAATGTATCAGACAGTTAATCATACTCTGAGTGCTGACAGATTGTCTGCGAACCTTGCAAAATATCTAGATGTTTCACAATCAAGACATTAGGATAGGCAGTTTACCCGTAGTTTATCTATAATGAGAGAACACTAAACTTATTAACACAGAATCCCGAAGATTCTATCAAATTTTGATGATGAGGTGCGGTTAAGTAAATTATACACGATGTATGTACTTCAGTAAGGCACATTCAAAAATTTTAACGTAAATTACTACTCGATCCTGCACGAGCTAGAAACACCTATTGAGTGCGCCGTTATAGTTTGTTTTTTAAATATTAGAGTCTTTTTTAAAGAACGAGGTTAGCCTACAAACTTGAAAATGGCGAAGTTCAAGTCCCGGGGGTTCTTATTGCTAAGAGCTTTATAAAAAGAACACTTAAACAAATAGCTTGAAAACACTGTCCGACCTAATTCAGTTTGACACTAGCACTTCATTATTAATGTTCAAGCACTGACTCCTTCTAATAGCTTTCAATAGTACCTGGTTTGGAAAGTAGCAACTGGTGAGCGCGTGCTATGCAGAATCCTCTTATAACCTCAATTTCAGCAAGCTGGCAGTCTGCGTTAACCAAGCTATCGGCAAGCTCCCATAACAATACGATAATTCCAAGACTACTTTTTTGTAAAGAGGATTCCACAAAAGAGGTGCTATTTGCGTAACAATACTTCCTGCTTGAATGCAACCAATTCAATATATATATATATATATATATATAGTTTAAGCAATATTTCCCTTGCCAAACCTAATGGTATGAGATATAGCAGATCATAGCATCTCTAAAAACTTAAGCTTAGATAAAGCATTAAGCTGCCGTCAGATCTACAAAGCTATTGGCGGGTACCTGGTCCCTTAGTCACTCCCAACAAGGGTGTCCTGGCAGGCAGGCGAACGGTAGTACTTAGATGGTTGTGACTCACGAGTTTTAAGAGAGAAATAGGGTAGGGACGCAACAGGGGATAAGCGAGACTCTGGTATGCTGTTATATCTGGACAAGAGCTTCGCGCCATACACAGGACCGAGATCTGACTGGCGGAAGGGATGGTCTCTGCGGACACTACCACTGCCTTTTTGCTTTCATCGTGTCCATGCTCCCGAGGGCCTTGGCGAGCCCTGGCTTTTTGTGCATCCCAGTACAAGCCACTCTTGCAGGCCAGCGATAATGTCGGCTTCGTGTTCGTTGGCTTTGGCTGGCGCGTCGCGTCGCGTCCAGGACCTCGAAAGGAAGGGGCGAGAAAGTTACGGGAGAATCACATTAAAGAAAGGGATCTTTTCTTGAAACTACTGAGGGACTTCAACGAGGAGCAAACCGATCGAAGGGCAACACTGCCCCGCTCCTTTTACTCGAGCCAAACAAACTAGCCCCCTATGACGAAAAAAGCAGTCGTAAAAATAAAAATGCTTTTAGGTGTTATCCGACGAAATTTCGCCACCACGGACGTCGCATGGAGTATAGTCGCAGAGGTAGACACAGGGCTTTGCAAAGTGAGAGGGCAAAACTTCAGATGAAGAGAGATGGCGAAGCAGACAAATAAAAAATACGTCTGTGCGTAATTTTCGGGAGCGAAAAATACGTTTCATAGAGCTAGCCGTTCGTGCGTTAGCAGATGTCACTAAAGCTTTTAGGCTTTAACGAGTTCAGCCGCACTGCGTACTTTACGCAACTTACGACGCAAAACTATCGGTTTATCGTCGAGGCGACGAATATTTATGATGCACCAGTCCATTATTTAGTGCGAAATTCTCCCATAGACACACCCGGCACACGTTGTCCGTCATTCCTACGAACGTACATATTTGCTGGGCGTGTATGTCATAAATATACACATGCCTATACGTTGACCTGTCAAAAAAGTCTTCACTATTTTTTTTAGCTAGATGACTTCAATGTCACAAATCCAGTAATAATATTTACATATGATATTATATACCACTACAAAATTATCGTGTATATATATGTAATAGTTCCATAGTAGTAATAGTAAATTGTACTGACAGGTGCTTTCCACGCTTGGGTTGTTAATCCGTATTACCTAGCCTATGTCTTGTTAACCTTGAAACTGAACGTTATGCCAGGCAGTCGCGGGATCGGCCGTGTTTAAAAAGCAATTATTTGCAAAGTAATGGCGACCTTTTCTTCTCTAAACAGCCTGAACTAAGCAAATTCTACCCTGAAAACGTTACTTTTATCTTTTTTTTTGTATAAAACTGAAAGCATGCTTGTATACTGGCCTAAAAAATATTCGTATAGTCTTGCGGATATATTCATCTAAGAGCAACTAGCACTACTATATAGCGTAGACGCTAAACTTTTGTATTAGTCAGTTACCTATTCGTATCCACGCGCGATATATTTCCTATATAAGTGTCATTCTTTTAGCGACTACCGCATCGATAGCATATCCGCCTGTCGTTGAATAAGCGGTTGCTGGCAGCGGTGCTTTTCGGTTTGTCAGTTCAGACATTAGCCGTTAGCCGTATTGAGTACGGGGACGGGGTAGTCCGAAAGGAACAAATTGAAATTGTTTAGAGCCTAGGCCTCGATAGCATCTCTGTTGCTAAGTGACGATGGTGATGAATGAGGGAGTTTTCTTGTCCGACTCTTTCGGCGTAACGCGCTTCGCGTGGCTCTGCTCCACACCATGCAGACGGCGGTAGGGCCGGAGGCCCCCGTGTGACCCCTTGCGCGACAGACAAAAGTATACTACACGCCGCTCGTTGACTAACATCTGACCCAGCTAGAGTCACTCGCCTTTTTCGCTGTTCCCTAAGCATCAGTTAGGCGCTTCGTCGATGGCCACGGTCAAAGGAAGGGGCAGGTGGCGCTGTTGTTGCCATACGTTCGAGGCATTGACCGGGACGGCATCGCAATCTCTCTGTCGACGCTCGATTTCCGTTTTGAAGCATCGTCGCTCAGGGGATTCGATTCATTCGTTCATACTAGCGTGCAACAAAAAAGGAGACACTCCGATGTGAGTAGATTTTGTTTGATTATCATGTGTGAAACGCGCGCATGGGAGAGTGCTATAGCGGTTCGGTGGCGAGCGTAGTCGCATAGGCCAACCAATACAGAAGGAGAAAATGCCATCGTACAGTCTATGACAAATTTGGATACTGTTTACAGTACAGCGATAGCATCGTATAGAAACGACAAGGTTTGCCGACAGGATGTAAACATTGGTCGACGTTAATTATAAAGATAAGAATATGACTAATAAGTATTAGTTCAATGAATCGCAATCTCTCTAGAGATAGATTAGCTAATGCGCATTGTTGATGACGATGAAAAACATCTCCGCTGTTTCAAATAATAGCCTGTTTCAATTTAGCGAATTATTCTTTAGCTAGATGACGCTTGTTGTCGGCATATTCATTCGCGTTTGACGCAATTGAACTTGTGTCAATTGCTGTAGTCAATACGTACTAGTGGTAGTGTTAATCCAATGTATTTACGCCTTTGGTTAACGATGGCATGCAGTGGCGCTTCTAACGTCACAGGCGTCTGATACGCCCTTAAGATCACTATCCACATTCAACCATATCTGATTTCTAACAAATGCTGAAGCCTAGCGATCTGTAGGGTTCGACAACTGCTTCGCCGCAAGATTCGGTCAAACACTAAAAGCTCAGAGATGCAACATGACCTAACAGAAAATATTAGACTTCACAGAAAAGTGTGTTTAGAAAACACCGTGGAAAGGGTGAAGATGAAGCTTTTCTGCCCTTTGGCAAAGAAACTAATGCTAATATTCTACCCTAATCTGTTTATTTCCCTTGATTTCAGAATGGCTAACTAACAATAAATATAGGAGAATAGTCGGATTTGCGCCTTCAGGAGTGATCTTACATGGGTCCGTTGGAACTCCAGGTATCTTTTTCACAACATTTCCACCTCATTTTTTCCAGCAGCACGTATACACTTCATTCCTCCAAGCGGAAATATAATTACATACTAATTGAAAACTGAATTTGTAGAGACCTTGATCGCATCGTTCCTTTTTCCAGCGTCTCATCGAGACACGATTTCAGCATACGAGAGAGCTAAGCTTCTTTGTTTGCTTGATAAGCAGAGCCTACGTTCTTTCCAGTATTGTTTATGATCAGCACATTGTCAAAATAAAGTAAATTAGCTCCAAGATCTAAATAAGTTTGGCTATGATAAAGTTGACAATATGGCGTTTTTTTTTCTGACCAAGCCCAGTGTCTTCTGTCTCTTCTGCTGGCAGAGAACAAATAGCCAGTCTAAATGGTTTTAAAAATGTCGTGCAACATTATATTACAGTGTATAATACATATGTCTAGTGATATACATTAAAAACTGCCATTATATAACACTTTCGACACTGATTGAGCAGAAATCTATTACGAGAACCAGTCCATTGTAATCGTTAGCATAGCAGTGTGTTAGACTAAGCAAAATGGGTAAAACGATGAAAAAAACAAAATTTAACGGAGATCGCAGGTGTTTAGAAGTTGCGGATTTTATATCGTCTAAGGTAAAGTAACTTCGACTAGCTTTTAACCTGTATAAGTGCGTACTATATAATATAAAGGCTCCGGCATGTCGAATACGTTTGTGCAGCCATTTACGCAAAGACATATATGTATATATATATATATATATATATATGTCGCGCTTGTTTTTGAATGCCGCCAATAAAGATATCAACAAATATTGAGAGGGGCAAGTCTCAGACGCCTTTTTCTATTTTAGATTCTTGTACAGATGTACTATGATAACTCTCGGCATCTTTCCCAAGCATTGCTTTTGGAACAACGATTAGATCATGGAGGATAAAGAGGTTTGTTGCTAACGCTCCTCTTCCATTCGTCGTCAGCAACGGCTTGGTTGGATCATTTAATGAGTTCGTTATCTTTGCTTCCCCTCCGACTTCCAGCTTTCGTTGAAATCTGCACAATTACGCCTAGATACATCTACTACTGCAGCTACCATTACTTTGACTGAGCGCGGTCATCCATTTCTCAGTTAGCTTGAGATTCTGCACCTTTTTTTCCCCATTGTTTTCGTTATCCTTTATAGTAACAGTTGTGCAGAAGATAGTTGAACTACAAAGAAGAATCAGAATGGCCTCCCATAATACTTGTGGCCCCCTATGCTCGACCGTCGAGGTATCTCCACCCTTTAGCACCTGACCCGATTCTCGCGATTCAAAAGAGGAAGGACGCAAAGGAAGAAGTATCATTTACTCGACGAACCGCTTCTGCAGCCTTTGCACTCCTTGCCCATTTTGTTCATAGGGTTCTGTTCGCCTTAGGTCTCGTCCCGTCTTCGTTCGGTGTGCCACTCGGTCTCGGCCGCTCTACAACTTTCGACGGTCTCTGACCCGGTCATGAAAAAATCGAGAGGTGGCAGTGTCCTGCCCTCTCCTGTCGCCACTACCGCTACTCTTCTGAAGAGATGCGATAATCGTCCACAATTTTTCAACGCTGCGGCCCCCGCTTCCATTTCTTATCCCGGACGTTCGCCTTCCAATTCCCATCAAACCGAGCTCCTTTCTCTTTTTAGGCCGCTATTCCGCCAACGCCGCTGCCGATTGTCGGCCACGTCGCAACGCTGCCATTGCCGTCGAGATCAAGACCCTCTCATACGCCGAGCGTCCATCTTCCAACGCACATCGTTTTTCGTTTTCTACTCCCCTCACCCAGTTTCATTTGATTCTTCCCGCCTATGACCCGTTCGCCTCAGCATTTCGAAAAGGAAGGGCAGCAATGCCATTTTTCGCTTTTGTTTACCGTGTAACTATAGGCACGTAACTTCAATAGATCGCGTATTAGGAATATAGCGGGCCCACTACATAACAAGAATGGGAACTAACGGAAGAATGTGGCAAGCGCGTTCCAACTTCGGCAAGTTACATTGGCTAGTCTTGGGTCTTTGACAATTCACGAATGATCGTTAGTTGTGCGACCGCTCAGTAGGCAATCGACACGAAGCGGGTCGATAGATGCGAACACATTATTTTACCTTGAAGATTGCTTGTTATCAATGAATTGTTTTTAGGAGTAACCGATATTGTTCGTCTCAAATGATCATAGCAATAACACTCTTTGAGCTAGCTTCGAAAAATCATCAAATCTATGTAATAAAGGCAAACCCATATTCGTACATTGACTGCTCACTATGGCTCATTCGCCACCCGGCAGCCCAGAAAGATATCTTCTAGGAACATTCCGGTTTCCTTGTTTCTACGTTTTTACGTTCGTTTCCAGAAAACCTCACAGCCTGACAGTCTGTTAGTGCGTCTAAGAAACTTATCTTCCTGGCAATCAGTTAGTTCCGATTGGGTGGAATCAGTAGCATCGGTCTTTTTCCTTGTTCGTTTGCCCAAAATCGTTATCACTGGGGAAGCGTCACCTCTTCCTCCTTTTTGCCTTCTTGATGCGTCTGTTCTCTGCCCAGACCGCCTTGCGACCCGTCGCCAGCGGATATGCAGCTGATTGGTCCATGCGCGCCAACCGAGTTAGCCGATTTCCCCCTACGTTTGCTCCCGTCCATTGTCCTTCTTCTTTGCGGGCCTTTCCTGTCCACCAACTCCTCTTCCCGAGGCCGAAGCGTAGATTAGTGTGCAGTGGCGGTTCGCTGTTTAACTAACACAGTTGGGTAAAGAAGAAATGTGCCCAGTTAGGATCTGATGTAATCTGCTCTCTGCCACTCCTTTTGACTATCTCTTTTCGTATTTGCAAAAGGAGACTGCGAGATTGTGCGTGTCGGCGTGGGTGGATATTACTATCGGTAACTATCGGCAGCGCCCAGCCAGTCAGGATACCTTTCTGGGGCTCTGAAGTTAGGATAGGATAGGGCAGCTGCAGGAGTAGGAAATCTTGAAGGTGTGCTTAAAGACGAGAGCCAAGTGTGTCTCGTTGTTTGTTCGCTTTGTTCATGAACGAGGTCAATGATAGCGGATGCGTCCAAGAAGCATAATAGGCACTCAAAGCTTAATCTCAAAAGAATTGTGTTCAAATGCGAAAACTAAGTAATCCGTGAGCTGAAAAATACTAAATATGCTATCATTGCTTTAGAACTTCTGGGCGGTGACGGAAAGGTGGAGTGTTTGCTAAGGTACTGCAAACTGAATGACTTTTATCTATCCTATATATATATATATATATATATATATATATATATATATATGTATGTATATAACGAAACAGTAACCTATTTGAGATCCACCAATAAATCGGCAGGCGCCGAAATAGCTGGCCTGCAATACGCATACCGTGGCTCTAAACGAGCCTCGACGTTGATATCGGTGATTGTTGGTAATCTAATAAAGCAATTCGCTTCAACTTAGCTACTGACGCTAATCAGCTGAAAACCCCCCTGCCAACCTAAATTTCTACTGTGGATGACCCGTTCCATAGTAATCCACAATCTGTTGAGTTGATCGTGCTTCCTTCCATGGTATCCGTTGCATCGCTTTGCGTCAGTGTACAGACTCCTGTATGTTTCCTTGGTTCGCTTGCACTGTTAATTGATCAATCTGGCCGCAAGGATGAAAGGACCAGCAGGTCCTCCCCCAGCATCGATAACTGTTTTGGGCCCAGTGTAAAGAGGCCTTAAGAGCAGCTAGTAGGCATGAAGATTGTTTGTTAGTAAATTGGCCACTACCGTCATGTATTAGCCGAATTAGAAAAGGATTCGGGTAGAGAAAAAGGTGACGAAGTGGCCAGCTGCACTCGACTGATAGGAAACTTGCGATGAGTTTAGCGAATAGATAAGCAACCAGATAACTTTCTGTATGGCTGTATATATGTATGATATAGGTGTAGAAGGTATCAAGCTGAGGAATGGATCAGGTATCTGGTGACAGCTGTTTGTTATTATGTTATCGACGCTTCAGAACAATTCAGCGTACTAATAAGGGGTCATTCAATTAAATAGACAGTTGCTGATCCATCAGACAAAAAGCACCAAGTATATATCAGTGTTTTCCTTGTCTGAGTCTGATTAGGTCGTGCGAGCAAACCTCGCTCAACAGAAAAACCCAGTATGAAAGTAGCATTAGCAGCTTGTTCGTGATCTGAGATTATTTTGTATAACTACTATGTCGGTCTATTTCACTTATATGTATATAGCTTTTGTACTAATGTATCGAAAGATTCAGGGAAATATGGCCGCATCTCATGGAGTTGTCGTTGTTCTCCGTCCTCAGTTTTTCTCCTCTAGACGAAATGTTCTCTTAAATCACCATTTGAATACTGGGTATTTCAAACCGATACTACAAACTGATCTAAGAACGTCTGCCTACGGAATGGAATCCAACTATTATGGAAACCATTCAGACACAAGTAAACATATTGACAAATCAATCTGCATAATGAATTCACTGTCAGGTGTATCATATAAAGTAACATTTCCTATTTTACGTAAATAGGCCATCCTCTGGCACTTCAACCAGTCGTCCGATGGGTTATGTTCGCCCCTGTGTCGACGCCGAAGTGCATCGCTCCATCTACAAGCGACCAGTATTACAGCCCCCGTTCCCCTTTTAGGATAAATCACAGATACAATATCAGGTTCCTGCGTCAGGTTGAGTTGCTTCGTCCTGGTGTTGAAAATTGCATTTCTTTCTCGCCTAACTTGATTGACGTTTTATCCAAACTGAAACAACCCTCCCGTTTCAGTTTTCGTATCCTGAGAAAAATAGTTTTGACGAACAATTGCAATAACTTGGCATATTGTATACGACGTTGGGCCTCACTTATTCCTGCCCCGCCCCTCGAAGTCTAGTTTCTCTAAGAATGCTAGTATTGCCTTCACGTTAGTAATAACTCTCTAAGCATCGTCTCTTTGAGCTAAAAACTGTGAAGCCAATCTTATAACATTCTGTCGTTTCGCTTATTACGTACGGTGATAAGCGCGTGGCCTATAGCTACTGTGCAATATCTTTAATGCTTAATGCCAAACACAATATATGGCTTTTACAGACGTATTGAACGCTTCGTACACGGATTGGCATACGATGGTATCGATTAGAAGTAATGTTACATTAAACAGTTGATCTAAGTATATCAAGCCCACATGGGTCACCATTATTCTTAACTAAATGCCACAAGTCCAGCTACCACGATGAAAGACGCAATCAATTCTGGCAGTAATTTTCCACCACTGCAGTGTACAGAGACCATACTAAGCGGAAAGACGCTTGGTCGTATATACAATATACATATATAGCAATACCCACCGCACAATTGGTCCTATTCGGCTCGGTGAGTCCTATAAGCAGCTTGCTTGTTTTGCAGGCTGATTGTTCTCTAAGCCACCTGTTTCTGTGAAGAATACATCTAAACGTATTGATCTCAACTAGCCGATCGGTGCCAGCCCATGCTTTGTTTCCCGTGTTCAAGCAGATTACGCTGTTTTAGTGGTTTCAGTTTGCCTACCTCACACACAGCAACCATTTCGAACCAAAACTACAAATCAATGGAAATAAAGAAAGTGTTTCCTCGGACGATCGGCTGATGCTGGGGTCAGGCTGGATAGCTAAGGAGCATGGCAGCTCACACGAGGTCCTCCGCGATTGAGTCAGACTCAGCTTTTATCTTGACTGTTTACCATGCCATGTTATCGAGCAGCGCCGACGGATGTAGAGGTCAATCAGGCGATCGTGTGAGTATAGGCAACTTTGCGTAGTGACAACGGACGATTTCAGTGTGCAATGAGGAACTGAAACGGTTATTGAAAACAAGAGATGAGGACAGGCGTACGCAGTTCGGAAGATCGCTGCTGTTTATCTCGTAGAAAACGCTTTTCTCCTTGTACTCTGTCCTCGTGATCCCCTATTCCTTTGACACTAAGACCAGCAATATGCTGTTGTTGTCTCTACGACATGGTCTCGCACGCGACGGATAACGATGCAATGCTTGAATACGTTGGTACGGATAATAAATAAAAATTTATGGTCACACGATGAATCCATCTACAGATTTGAGATATCTTCAGAGACACGGGCGTGAAATTAAATGTCACCTTTAGCAAAGAGGAAAAGGTAATCATTAGGCTTGGAGTCGAAACTTAATAGAAATCGAAGTTATCGACCGGCGGAGAGTCAACGATTCGGCCAATAAGTTATAATGCTGAATCAAGAACAGATTTAATTATTATCAGTTATCGCTTATTATCGACGCGTTGTGCCTTGGTAGGGATCCAGACCCGTGTGACCGTTGCATTTAATAAATGGACGGACGTAAAGGGCTCGAGAAGTTGAACCGATAAATGAATGAATTAGCCGATGTTTTGATCGTATCGATCGGCCTTATATGTTGGTTGTAGACTAGTGACTCGTATCTTCTCGGTTTTTCAAATTCGAAATACACTACATACAAACAAACGTCTTGTTCCCATGATTCCATAGCGGTAACATGTACTCCTATTAAAGTCACGGATAGGTAGTAGTTTAGGCCCGAATCTAAACATAGATGCACTACGTTTCAAGCTAGCAGTTTGAAGCAACGCTTGATGGCAACACCGGACATAAAACTCGAAACGTTTAAATGAGTCGGTTAGGGCGAGCGAAAATGGCTATGTCTATATGCTACGTTTACTTGGGTTTCTGGAGTAAACACTCCCTCTATTCTGCATAAAGCTTCAGCTTTACATAGCAGTACGTATTTTACCTAGCTCTATATATGGTATATGGGCGAAAGCCCGTCAGTAACTGATATGATAAGAGTCTGTCTGCGGTTGGATGAGTACTTGCAGATCGCTACTTTATAATTCAGTCCAATCTAGAATATTGATACGGGAAATACGGTGCTTTAGACAACCAAGTCTTTGGTTGGGAAAGACTTAGGGCGGAGCCTGAAGCACCAATAGCTATGCATAGATACCACACGATTTGTACGAATAAAGAATGTTAAATATAAGAAACATCTATAAAACTTCTACACAGAATCCTATGTAATCTAACGAGGATGAGAATATTGTTTCTAAAGGTCTGTGTTCTTTTTGCACTGCAACTTGAAGCTTTTGTTGAGCCGATTCATCTTGAATACTGGACCTCATTGAAGAATAACTGCCTTTTGTGTTCTCTTCTATTCTAGCGTGTGTCGCCAATGATTATCTCTGGGATCAAATTGAAGGACAGTTTTTTTTAATCACCTCATGGACAAATTTCACAGAACTGTCAAAAGCAAACATCTCGTCACCTGAAGAAGTACTCAGTACTTTATGCTCGATCGTAACCTTTATATCGAGTACCGTATTTCTTTGTGTATGTACGAGTCTGTGCCTGCTAAGGAAGCAGCGTACTCGCGAAAAATATGCATAATGCCAATGGAACAGGAAGCGGATTTCTTAAAACAAGCTCAGACATTCTCCCGGTGCTGAGATGTAAAAACGAAAGATGCTGTTCTTCACCGAGATGGTTGGTACGGTGCCGTTGTTGTACATATCGAACGGACGAGTCCTTCTGCGAAGTTAACGGTAAGCCCCCCGGGGGGCTACCTTGCGGTACGTCTTTTCGTTCCAGCTTCTTCTCCGCATCCCTTCTCCTCTTCACTGTTACAAGTGCTGCATGGAACCTAACCCTGCCTTGCTCTCGATACGGATTCCGTCCTTGTACGCAAACAAATACGAAATTGTATCAAGCGCTGGAAAGCCAACAATACGAGGCTGCAGTTTACAGGAAGCCATGAATATACATCGCTGGCGGAAAGGCAAAGATCACAAAAAGCAGCCTGTATCATTTGTGGAACTGTCTACTCTCGCCTGCCGTGAACCCTCAACAATAAATCTATACTGTGCCAAGACCGACAAACCTTTACTTTCTGCAAGCCACGAGTAGTTAACCGTGACAGGAGTGTTTATGCCTCTTGTGTAGTATTTTTGACTTGAGTAGCTATCCTCATGCCCTCTAAGTAGGAAAAAAATTAGAAGCTGTTTATCTGCTTCATCGTCGGTTATAGGGACAAACCCCTGTGTGACGTCGTTTTAAGGAAATCGGTGTGTTTTGGCAAATGTTAGTGTTAGTGTTAGTGTTAGTGTTTTTTTTTCATAGCTCAAAGTGTTGTGCTTAATATGAACGCGGATAGTGAATGACGGAGTTTACTATCCGCTAACGCAGCTCGTTTAGGTAAAGTGACTGCTTCATATTCGAAGAATTGGTATTACCAAGTACAAATCTAGATGTTCCGAGAACCCTAGACTAGTTCCGGCCCAGCTTTGGGAGAGCGTCAGTGCTTAAAACATGAGTTCGGGAACATGTTTTAACAAAACTGTATGAAAATTCGTGTCTTGCTACGTGCATGCGTCAATGTTTTCAACCGACTAAAAGGACAGCTATGGGCTCTATAGACGGGTTGGTTAGATTCTATTAATCCATGGTTCGCCCGTTGACGTCGTTTGTTGGTGGCGACATTTCGACCTGCCGTCCTTCAGACTACGCTAGCTAACGTGCTGGCTTCGAAGAGACAGTTACTGTTTACATTAATATTATCCCCGGCAGTATTATGAAAAGAGAGCTTCTAATTAGTACGTAATCCAGGTGACGCGCTCGCATGAGCAAAAAGACCTACTCTAATTGAAATTGACCTTAGCAAACTATTGAAGGAATTTGACTCTTGACACCTGCCCGTTCTTCGGCCAAACCTCTGACGCCTCGCTGGGCTGCGGTCGCAGAACGAACACAGTGAAGAAGGCCCACAAATGAGACGTTTATAAACGTAGTCGCCAATTTACACCAATTCGACTTTCGTTTGTGCTGCTCACTTGTCCGGCTAGGACTATATTGTACCTTCTTATGGTAGGCAATAGGCCTCGTGAAAAAAACACGATTAAAGGATCAAGATATCAAGATTCTTTAAATTTAAAAAAAAATTATATTCATTACTGTCAAATTTATCATACCTATATATGATTATATTTTTACTCCGTAGCCACTACTAATTAGCTACGATGATTATAAATGAATAGACTGGAGATAAGCTAGTATCAGTTTTGATTGACCTAACCTTCTAGGTGCAAACATCGTTTCTCGTTCACTATTCCCTCATTTGCATATGTTATAGCGTTATCTTACGTTAATCAGTGTATAGTACGCATAAATAAGCACGCTCTCCAAGAGTGTACGTTGTTTCACGTCCCTGCACAACGAGAGATATTAGTGACCTCGTTTTAGCTGGCACGTATGTTTCTTAAAAACACGTGTCGAAGCTGCAAGCCATTCATTTATGTCACACACAGAATCGTTAAGCAGGAGCAATGCCGATGATAAAGTTAGGAGCAAACCTAAATCAGGAAAAATTCGAAGCCAATAATTTACTTATTGCTATTTGAACTTTTCTTCTACAGGTAGTACTGCAATAACACGTATAGTCGTAGAAGAAGGTCATCAAACAGATTTACCGTGTGTGACGGATCAGCCATCGTTCAATAAGACGGGCAACGTACTCAAGGTCTGGTGGTTTCACCAAAGACCGGGCAGATCGTTTGCGGTCAACCCTTTCTATACCATCGATCTCACTTCTTCGAATCAGGTAAAACATCTATGGTATTTTAGGATGCATTTGTAGAAAAACGCGTTTTTCCAGTCGATGAAACGACGACCGATGTCGTTGAAAAGACATTTGAGACGCAGACCTGTTTAGAAAATCAATAAACTTAGGTGAAATCGTTGTAAATCAAAGGTTATCGTAATTATATCAGCTTGCTTATGTTTAAATTTGGCGCTGTCTTCAGGTTGGTGTCAAACGCTTCTACGAAGTTTATTATACCGAGACAGATCTCTATATTTATGTGTAGCAGCATTATGTGTACAATAGCAGTCGGTCAACTTTGTCCTTCCGTTCACTTCTGCTTGCTTGTCACATAGGTTCTGCGTTGGGCATCAGAGAAGTGGACATCTCGAGCCTACTTCAGCTTATTATCATATCCGTACTCGTTAAAGCTAATTCGACTAGAACACTCGGATGCGGGTGCGTACATCTGCCAGGTGCACTTCAAAGATGGCAGTATACGAAATGGAACCGTCCAGCTACAAGTTGTCGGTAGGTAGCAAACTGAAACAATCAGACATGAGGCAATAGTGCTTAACGCACGTTATGTTAATGACACCAAAATAGGATTCCGCTATTAATTAATGATACAGTTCTGATTTTTGGTGGACGCCATTTCTGTTCAAAAAAAGATACAGCGCTAACAAATAAGTGTCCGGTTTCCAAAAAAAAAAACACATTTCTATCTGGTAACTCTGTCAGATAAAATAACTAAGCCATTAATTACTTTCAGCATAAGTAACAAGTAGTTTTATCGTAATTGTGACACTGAGTGATACGACGACCGAAACAAACTTATAGCAAAATAAAAATAAAACTATAACTTGCAGTACCCCCGTTACCTCCACACATTTACACGGAAACTGGGGAGGAAGTTCAGACAAGCCTTGGACCCCTGAATGAAACGTCCAAGCTTGTCCTCGTCTGTAAAGTCAAAGGAGGTAAGGGAATTCAGTGGACACGTTTAAAAATAAGGTTTAATACAATAATAATTCTTGATGAGTTACATATTTCAAGATGCTGCTAAAATTATAGATCTATGCACTTAATATTCCCTATGTTGTTCTGTAACGGTGTAACTAGTTCATCATAAAAGATGTACTCTTACCAAACGTATTAGGCCAGTAGAAGCTCTCCGCCGACTCTGCGGCCTCATTTTATTCGTTAGATAAGGTCAAAAGTGCAGGCACCTATAAGCTCTTCATCTACTGTAATCTCCGCCTTTTTCTGGGCAGTTACTTCCATTCAGATTCTCCCACAACCACTTGTTTTGGCTACTTGAGTTGATCCGTCCTTAGCACACGACGACTGTTAAAACAAGCCCCTTATGAGATCCCAATGTTCCTTTGTCCTTTACGCGCTGAGACTTATATAGAAGCCCAGTAGTGAATGACGTTTGTACGAGCATGTCGACGGCGTAAAGAAGAACAAATGTGCCCATTATCAGTATCGCTCAACTTGATTATTCTCGGAGTCAATGATGGAATTAAGAATAATCACGAGCCGAGATTTGGCGAATTTCGGCAGCATGATTCTTCTGAACAAGAAAAAACGGGTCTGTAAGAAACAGCAAGAAGGGTCGACTGTGACGATGTCGGAAACGCGGTTTAGTATAAGACAAAGAGGTCCCCAAACTCTACCCGAATCTTTAACGTGGTTTGGATCTTGCATAAATTATTTGCACTTCTAGTGGCACATAGCGCTCGGCGGATGCTTCAGTACCAAATCTTCTAAAAACTGTCGAATGTAGCTAAAATCTTCAGACTATCCCGAAAAGCGCCCAAGACTCTAGCAGCAAGCGTTCTAGGCTGCCTCAGCTTATGGAATCATAAGCGGATAGCGATTCTCTGTCACATCTTATATTTTCTTATCCCTCACGTTTTCTGGAAGACATAATTTTCTCGCGATTTTTTTAACTTTTTTCCCCCTAAATTGCGCGTACTCCGCGTACGCGAGTATCAAGATTGGAGTGTTTGCGTTGCTTAATATTCTGCGTCATGTAGATATTTCGCGAAGCGGGTGTCGTCATGACCGCATTACCCAATTCCAGCGACACGGTCATATCTAAGTGTATGCGCAGCTGAAACTCTGACGATACCGTATTAGATATTGCTCTTGTTATAATGGTCTAATTGCCTTCTCCTCCAGGATCCGCGACAAGCTTTCCCTTGGCAATATAACTGTGAATGGTAAGCCAGTCGACTCCGAATCGGACCGCATAGTGAATATTCGAGTAGATTGTAGTCTGCTATACATGCATAGAACCTTATGCCCCTTATGCCTCTACAGACACATCAGTAAAAGAACATATGGGTATAAGTACAACCGCATAGGTTAGGCTGCCAGCGCTGGTATTTGCCGCCCGAATATAGCAATAGCACACATCAGCAACGGGACAGACTGAATGCCAGCTGCCGCTTGCTGATGGCATCTAGGTTTCCCAAACCCGTATACCTGCTGCTTGCTAAGCCAAGTTAGTCAATGCTAGTTCGTTGTCGCCGAACATGCATCCTCATTTCTAGCTGGTATATCTAGTATTCAGGCATTTGTGTGTGTATATATATGTATAGGAAAAAAAGGATCGATAGAGTATAGCAGATCACCCCCACAGCTGGTATGGAGCTTTAAGCGAGACCAGATAACGTCCGTTACAGAAGCCGTAACAGCAGCCGGAGCGGCAACAGCAGGTTTGGCGATTCCTTGCCTCCTTTTCTCGCAGTGGTAGCTGAAGCGTGAAGAAATGTAGAGTAGAACGATTATTCCATGATCTGCCACGTGTGCATCTGTGTGTGTCTGGGTGTGCCTGACTGCTTTGAGGATTGCCAATCCCTGACAAATTTCTACAAAATTGCTGCTTTCGTTCCCCGTCTTTTAGTGGAGATCTGAAAGACTAAACAACTATCAGTGAACGTAGCTGATTGCCAATCAAGAAGATGAAGGAGAGCGTTCTTTGTCCCTATTATATCACTGCTCTGAAAAATGCTTTTCTACTTTTCATTGTACTTTTCATTACTGCAAAATATAAAAGAGTTAGTACAATTCGTAGTGCGTTGGATGGTCGAAAAGTGTGTGTGGTATCACCCACATGTTCAGTCCTATTACACACACGGTATATGGATATCGTGGAGAATGCGACAGACAATTTAATGACATGTGGCCCATCGTATATAAAAGTCATAGCAGTAGTATATCCGTATGATAGAGTTTCAGTCGTATAGGAACGTGATCCACTATAGTGCTACTAATGAATGACGAAACAGTGTATGCAGATCTGAGTTGGGATCTGTTTGTTTTATTTAAAATGTACTTGAATATATGTGGTTTGGATCTAATAGGCAAACCAGCTCCCAGTGTAACATGGAAGCGAGGAGGCACCGGCGAAATCGAGGGCAACGTTCGTACGTCTCGTATTGGTGACACAACCGCTTCGATCCTCACTTTACATCCACTTCAGCGCGAGCATCACCTCGCTGAGTTCATCTGTGAATCTGCCAATGACGAGATCACTTACCACACGACCCAGTTGCGGCTTGAGCTCAATCGTAAGTATTTATCATTATCTACTAAGTTCTTAACAGTAGATAGTTTCGCAATAAGTTCGCAATGGAATAGCTAATAGACAAGGAGGAAGCTAAGGCCCAATCTTGGCTTATAATGATAGGATGAGTTTCGTGATAGAATTATTGATGAAATCTATATTCTTCTATTGTCAGTATCACCGCTCCTTGTCCAAATTCGTCGAAGTGATGCCGCGCTAAGTAGTGGCTACCATGCCGAAATTATATGTGAAGTGTGGGGTAGTGTCCCGCCTGCTAAGGTGTCTTGGTGGAAGAATGGCATTAATCTTGAGCAGGACTTTGAGCACACGAGTATGGGTAAGTTGCACCACTCGACTAGGACGGCTAACCTTTGCTTGTCATATAACCACGACCCGCTTGCTAATCTACAGGAGTTGCCTGTGTACTACAGTCATAATCGCTCTAGAGGACGCTGTCAGCAGTTGAAATGTACGCTTAAAAGTTTAACAAAATAGCTCTGAAACGTTCAAAAATCCTGCTGACGAGGATCACTTCGAAGATCGAGCGCAGCAAACGCGACATATGGGGTTATTCTAAGGCATCCGATCAAAACCGTTTATATTATTTTTCAGATGGAAATTTGACGACTTCCGTGGTCCGATTTCAGCCTCGAGCAGAAGACAATGGACAGAGCTTGGTATGTCGTGCAGAGAACCCTCGCATGTCTGTGCTTGGGGTACGAGAAGACCAATGGGACCTAAATGTGCACTGTAAGTTATCTAACTTAACGCAATTCAGTCACTAACTGCTTCCATAACTTAATGACTAGGAGCGTTCTTAGCACTATTGTGCATGTCAAGTAGACTATCAGAGCACTCCTTAACCAAGTTCAGAGTTTTTCGGAAAAAAATCTGCGTGCATGCTGACCTTACCTATGAGAAACGATACTAACGGCGAAAGCTTTCGAGCGAACTTTGCTAACTGTTCCGTGTAAGTACGCCTGTAATAACAGAAATAAGCGAATAATAGAAGCGCGGGCTCTAGAACATCTAGAGTATCAAGCTCTAGAATATCCGAGACTAGATAATATTAAGTATTTCAATGCGCTTACGTTGAAATGATTGTTCCCCTTAGCCCTGGACGCTGACAGTAATTGTTGCTTCCCCTAGAGATAAAATGAGCGAATCAACAATAATGCAACCAATAGTCAAATCTTACTATTATCAGGGAAGGCAGGAAAGATCAGCAGTGTCTCGCTTTATCCGAAACTAGCTAAGAAACTTCTTTGGGATTTTTCTTTTGGAGAGGCTGATGCAAGACACACTTTGTTTGACTCGAAAACAACGGGATCAACGGTACCGTCCGCAGATTTGGCTTCAACCCGCCCCGTCGATCTACAGCTGGAAATAACCTGTTCAATTCCATAAGATTTATCTACTCCAAGAAGCATTTTACTTGCCTATTTTCTGGGCTCTAGCAACATATTCGAATGGATAGAAGCTCAACGTTCGGCTGGCTTCTCGAAATTCGAAATCGGAAAAAAACAACGAAAGTAGCAAATTTGTCCTATAATATATGGCCATTTCGATGCACCTGTGAAAACAGGACATAATCAACTTGAGGCTGGTAAACGGCTCGACCTGATCCGTTTTGGCTTTTCTCAAGTTTAGTTAAATCCCTATTCTTAGATCTTGTTCAGGGCGATTCATGCTTCTTTTTTCTGCCAATTATTTTCTCCGTACAACATACGACCCTGTAAGTCGAGGTTGTTTCAACCACGCACTCACTTCATGGATGGAAAAGCAGCCACGAAGACGAGGTGCTTTACTTGAAAATGGATGAGCTTATTTTAGTTCTCCTTTTCCTCCATCTCCATGAGGGTCGTTCTGTTTGCTCGGAACTCGGCACATTGGGCTAGCTAGGCAGTGGGCGAGTTACGGCGCTGGCGCCGGCGGACTGCTTCCACGCTCCAATAAAGTGAGACGCAGCGTCCTTTTTGCCTTTTCCTTTGTATTGTAGTGGCTATGTTAACGAAGAAGTGTCTGAGCGTGACTAGCCGCTAAGACGGAATGAGCATGAAATCGATTAGGGTGAGGGGGGGGGGGGGGGCACGATGACGCTCGTTGTCTGGAATGTATTTTAGCTCCAGCGGAACTGCTTTTTTGTCTTTCTGCAACGACAGTAGTAACAGTGGCGGCAGAAGCGACGGCCAAGCAAGTGTTTGGATGGGAAGTTACTTTGTGGAGACTCGCGCAAGACAAAATCAGCGCCAGCCCTCTTTTTTTTTTAAAGAACAACGTTGCATATATGTGTCAGAGATAACTTAAGCGTATGTGCTTTTTTGTAAGCATCACATGTAAGCACGAGCGTATTTTGTATTACTGAAAGGATAACGAGACGTTAGACGGATGTGCTGGACGCTTCATCTACGAAAAGAGAGCAATCAGTCAGAAAAGGTCTATAGAACAACTAGTCGTGTTAGGGAAAGGTGACGGACGTTGGCAGAAATGGTTCTATTTAAGTCAGCCTATCTTACTAGACGAAGTGTGTATACCAAATGTATGTATATATGTACATTAGTGTAATCGTGTGTGCATATGTTATTAGTCGACGAGTACAAGATGAGCGGATCTATTTGTATAAATTGAATAGGCGCTACTACAGCATATCGCTTTCAGGAGACGATCTAAATCGATTCATATAGATCCCTTTTTGAGAGCGGAGCATCCTAGATGAGTTCCTATGATTCATACCTTGCCTAGCAGTTTTAATGCTTGTACTAGACTTGTCTATTATAACTGAACATATAAAGACAGACATAGGCAAGATAGATTTATGACCAGGACGCAAATTTATCAACGCTTAGAACAAGGGTAGATTTCGTTTGGTTAGGAACAAAGTTGGTACTGGATATCGTTTTCCTTGCCCCAATTCTACTTTAACTACAGAGCCAGCTTCTGCTCTCTACCCCTCAAACTACCATATCAAAAATCATTAAAACACGTGAAACTGGGTTGCTCGGTCCATAGCGTTAGCGTACGGTTCGTATCTTCTTTCCACAGACCGTCCCGTGGTACGCGTTCAACTTGATGCACCGGGCCAAGGGTCAATAACGGAGGGCAGTGATATCTCAATATTGTGCCTTGTCGACGCTAACCCAGCACCGTTTGGCCCGCTCATCTGGAAACACAATGAGCACAAACTTTCGGCCACATTAGGTTCTGGTGTGAGCGCACGTCGAAATCGTCTTCACATACGCAACGTCAGCCATGGACATGCCGGTAACTATACGTGTGAAGCTGCGAATGGCCAAGGGTCCGGCGTGTCGCCTGCGCTCTTTCTACGGATAAAGCGTAAGTGCTCAAGACCAAAATTCACATCTCTTACGTAATGCAAATATTCGCCTTGATAAGACTCAACACCTTCGACTTTTAATTAGACCAGTGACTTCATCCGTCGCAAACTACTAAATGAGGTTTTTTTTTATTTACTGATATCTACTTCCTTCTAGCCGTATTTACGAGGACAAATAAAGCAAACTGAGTTATTCATATAAGAAAAATAAGTGTTCAGATCAAAATATTAGGTAGAGATATTCGATCATTGTCGAATTGTTTTTTCCGCTGGGCTTGACAGCAAGTAAATAAATTGATAAAGTTTCCACGCATAAAAAAGATGGTTAACAAAGGTTCTTGTGAGTTCGATATTTCCATATGTCGGAACTTTTCTAATGACTTGTAGAGCACGGTCCACTTTTTCTTTCATCGTGTAATAGTTTTTAGGCAGCCTCGGGAAGATAGCAACTCCTAAAAGAAAATATCAAGGGTTTTTTTTTAAGATTTTATTCCGGTGCAGTTCCTTAGCAATCATGAAGCTGCACAATTGTCCAGATCGGATTCAATATTTTTATCCTTTGACCCTGTATTACAGTGGCGGCCGCTAGAGGGACCTTAATTATATTGTGATTGATAATCACGAAGGCGGCCCAAAAATAACGATTTTTTTTTCTCTAATTTATGGAGCTTACTGCCAAAATGTAGTGCTTGCAAGCTTCAGAATAGGCTTCCGGCATTACATATGGCCGTACGCGATCCTTTGTTCACTGTACAGTGCATTTGTATAAGAACAGCCGTATCACAGAATAAAGATAACTAAATACGTGTTCTCGTATCAAAGCGACTGTGTAAACATGCAGGACAGCCAAAAAGCGTGGACTTCTGCACAGTTTGAGTCAGGTGCGGTACATATGCATTTTCTTTATTCCGGTAAACTTTTTTTATGAAAGCTTAAGACGCCATACGCTTTGCAGACGTGA